TAAGAGTAGGAGGAATTTGAAAAAAAAAAAAATCATGCGAAGTATAGAAAAGCCGTGTCAGAGAGCCCCTTCGTGAGAGGCCATGCTTCTTACTGATTTTCACTTATGTTATCTCTCTTACATGGCAGTGTGTTTGACCAATTTAATGGTATTTTTTCCACTACCCGAGTCTTGGATGGCCGTGACCCCGGCGACATTGGCCATTTTTTGGTCGCAATACGGCAATGGAAACCGCCAACCGTAAAGACTACCGGTAAAGAAAAAAAAAGAAGAGACAGATGCGAGAGGGTCAAAGTATCTCCTAACCACGGCGGGCTACAGCTTTTCTTAACCAGTTTAACCGGGCCATTTAACCACGAAACACTCCACTATTTTCTTTGCGGGGCAAAATACCTCTTTATGGCCGCGACTACGAACGCGTTCGATGACAAAGGACGCGCCCGGTTCCGATTTATAAAAGCTCCTCCTCCTCGTCCTCCTCGCGGTCGTTGAACTTTTTATTCCTCGCTTACCCTCGCTGTGTCATTGACGAACGAAAAGAGAGTGCCTCGTCGAAAGCCTTCGAAACAATTTGAATTGATCTCTCCCTGTTACTTGGAACGTGCGTGGAACGAGCACAGGCTATAATAATTCGCTCCCCCCAACGGGACCGAGTAATTATTTAGCTTGGAAATGTTACGGAGGGAAGTTCGAAACTTCTGACTGTGAACTCGAATGAAAATCCTCCGTTCTATTCTCCGGGCCAGAGTTTCCAAGATAAGGACTGCCCGAAATTATTCTTTGGGAAACTTTAGGGGCGACTCTATAGCAAATCGGCACTGAGGCTTTCATGAATATTCACGCAAAATCGTGAATCGCGCGCTAAAACTAATTTGCACGTTAGTCACGGCTCCCCGCCACCGCCAATTCCCGATCCGAGTCGCGAGAATTCGCTCCGACGTCTCCGACGCGAAAGAAACAGAGAAGATCACCTCCTCGAGGCTCTTGTAAGTTCGATGACACGGTAAATACAGCGCCAAAGACTTGC